GCGCCACGTACTTACAATGGTGGAAGCAACCACCGGATGGCTGGAAACATATCCTGTGCCTCATGCCACCGCCCGGAACACCATCCTGGGCCTTGAAAAGCAAGTCCTATGGCGACATGGCACCCCAGAAAGAATAGAGTCAGACAATGGGACTCACTTCCGAAACAACCTTATAGACACTTGGGCCGAAGAGCATGGTATTGAGTGGGTATATCACATCCCCTATCATGCACCAGCCTCCGGGAAAGTTGAACGATACAATGGACTGTTAAAGACTACATTGAAAGCAATGGGTGCTGGGACATTCAAAAATTGGGATACGCATTTGGCAAAGGCCACCTGGTTAGTCAATACTAGGGGATCTGCCAACCGAGCTGGACCTGCCCAATCAAACCTGTTACGTACTGTAGATGGGGATAAAGTTCCTGTAGTGCATGTAAGAAACATGCTGGGTAAAACAGTCTGGGCTACTCCTGCCTCAGGAAAAGGCAAACCCATTCGTGGAATTGCTTTTGCTCAGGGACCTGGATACACTTGGTGGGTGATGCAAAAGAACGGAGAGGTCCGGTGTGTACAAGGGGATTTAATACTGGGTGAGAATAGCCCATGAATTGAATTGTACCATGTTAATTACCATATAATACTGTATGTTATCACTACCACGACTACTATATACCCTACATGAAAATGGTGACTAATGAGAATGTATAGAAAAGAGTGTAACCTGAGCATGACATAAACAGTATGGAATAAGGGGTGGATAGATGTCCTGGTTTCAGTTAGAACAGAATTTTCTTCCTATAGCTGGTGGAATGCTGTGTTTTGGCTTGGGATGAGAAGAGTGCTGATAACACCCTGATGCTTTAATTGTTGCAGAGGCAGTGCTTATACCAAGCCAAGGACATCTCAGCCTCTGTCCTGCCAACAGGCAGGCTGGGGGTGCAGTAAGAGCTGGGAGGGGACAGACCCAGGACATTGTTTTTTGTTTTTTCTCCACATTTTTGGACAAATTCTCTCAGAGAATGCCCACTTGGTGTAGGGACAGTATTTATGGCAGTTATTCATTTGTCTAAATAGATAATCTAAAAAAATACACAGAAAGAGAAGGCTCTTGGTAAGGTGTGGGTCTCTCTCCAGACAACCAGTGTATTAATAACAGACAATCTATATTGACAGGACTTCAAAATACATTATTCTTTTTCTAGGTCCAACTCTAAGTACCTTATTTTTTTTTCTTAATTGGAAGAAAGTCTCTGCAGAGCTTTATTGTTATAACAAATATGACAATAGCAAGCTATTGTCATATTTGGCATCTTGTGAATTGCATCAGATCAGAAGAGAAGTGGATGGCATTCCGATATTTCCCTGCAGTCCTGCTAAGCCTGTCCTGTTGTACTGAGGGTCCTGTCTTTCTAGGTATAGTAAGGGTGAATCTCAGCAGGCCTTCCCTTTTCTTGCCTGCGTTTCTCATTGACTCTGCTCAAAGCGCTCCCTTGCTTGCTTTTCTTTTCAGTTACTACTTTTCTAGCTACTCTTGTACAGGGTCCGACTGATCTCCATAGTGCTCAGTGCCCAGCCCTGGGGCAGTAGCTGCCACCACGTACATAACTGCCCTCTGATTTCACATACATTCAGGGCTTGGATGTGAGATGTTTTCGAAGGAATGCAATTTTCAGAGCCCTTTTTTATTGAAAAGCCTAGGTAAAGCACCTCTCCAACTCATTATTCAAATGTGGCATATGTTTTCCCTTGAATTTTCAGCAGAACTCTTTCCACTGATTTCCAAAATAAATTAGACTTTGCATAATACTTTTTCTGTATTTAACATTGCCTTCTCAGTATTGCAGCCAAGGCTTCCTTTTAAAGGCATATGCCTGAGATTATGCAATCATAGTATTCTGGTTACCCAGAGCAATTAAAATAAATCAGACTAGGTATAATGAAGATGAGCCAAAGCATCTGTTTCTCAAGAGGATTTAAAAAAAAAAAAAAAATCTATCATCCCCAGGGGCTTGGATCCATTGTGGTTAGATCTCAGAGATTCTTGTACTTCAGAAACGTGTCCAGAGCTAACTTGAGCAAGAATAGGAGGTGCTGGAGATGAGGTAAAGAAAGACTCTCCGGTATGACAGATATCTCTGCTCCTTAGAAACAACGGTTGGATAACCCGGTACATTTGGCAAGCCTGGACTTACAGATAGATTCCTTTTCCCTTCTAGTATTTTAGTTCGACGTGTTTACATGCATCAGGAAAAGGAGGAATCATTTCTGCATCCTCTCCAGTGCTTATCAGACAAGTCTTGTGTTTAAAATCCCTAGTTATATCAGCCCAGCTGTAACACCAGTTCGTGGGGAGGTACAGAAACCCCCACACCAGGGACCACGGCCACTTGGGGCAGAAAAGCAGCTTTCATTGAGCCAGTTGTCCAGCAAAACAAGAAGAGGCGTTCAGGCCCTGGAGTTGAGGCACCACGAGTTACTCTGTTCCGTGTCTGCTCTACTGCTGCTTCACTGCTGATGCCAATGGCTTTTTCCAGGTAAAATCTAGGAGAAGCCAAGTTGCTGGAGGTCCCCCAGCAGATGTCACGTCCTTGCCCAGCTGCAGGCTCCCCTCTGCATGAGGGCAAATACAGGAGAGCCTGCTGAGGGCTCAGCTCAAGCATGCTGGCGTCGGCAGGGAGGGGTCTGAGAATCACACGGGTGTTAACAGAGAGAGGTGTCCCTGCTGACACACAGGTGAAAGCACAAGCTTTTCCTTGGGTGGCTAAGGCAAGTGTTGCCTGAACATGACCAAAAGTCAGCCGGGACCTTTCCTGCCCCCACGAAGATCTCTGCCTGGTGCTGAGCACTGTGTGGCTGCAGCCGACAGGCAGTCCCAGCTGGGGAGCAGGAACCCTTCCACAGTCACTGCTGCCACAGCTCACTGTGCCTCCACCAGGGTCTGAGTCTGGCATTGCCATGGGGGAAGCTTCCCTGCCTGGATCCTGCCTGCAAATGATGCCCTGAAAGGATGCTGAGGGCTCAGCCTGCGTTCCCACTCGCAGCATTTTTATTTTCCTCCTCCATGGTCATGCAGGCAGCCTTGGCTGCTGCTTGTGAGCTTCCAGAATCCTTTTGCCTGCACACAAGGTGTCGGGCAGCTGGGGACTGCTCAGCACTTTGCAAAGATGTCCTGGGAAGAAATTTCACAACGGGCAACAGAAATGTTCTGTACCGGCATCTGAACATGGCTCCATCCTCTCACCCTGGCAGGTAATTTCTTCTCAAAATTAGTTTCAGGGAGACCTCTTGAGTCATGCTCAACAATTAGGATCTATACGGCCTTCTGAAGCAGGGTAGCTGTAGCATTAGTGGTTTTATGTGGGCAGCAAATTGTTTGCTGAGCTGCCTTGAGAATGTACTTAAGTAGCTACGGCTTGAGGACAGCTTAGCCAAAGGTTAAAAGTTGCTAAACTGTGCTAGGTGAATGAATCATAAATGTTATTGCATTTGTAACTCGGATGAAGGATGGAGTCATGGGAATAACTGTGTACAAGTGACTGCTAGAGCTTACAGGAGAATGTCTGCATGGAGAGGGATGAGGGAGGAGGTCCCGGTGCCTGGACAAACCAACCCTGCTTTCTTCAGCTGCTGCAGGAAGCCCCTTCCCTGTGTCGCTGCATCTCACAGGAGTGCTGTCAAAAAAGATCCCAGTAACCGTGAGGTCAGAAGTCCTCGCACAAACCAACTGGAAAAAATGGAAAACTTGAATCCCAAAACAGAAGAGCAAGGATTTGGGCACGGGGCAATATATTCAAGGTTAATGAAGATGTGGAGTCCCCTGCTTTCAGATGAGGGCAGGGCAGGAAGAAAGGAAGTTCTGAGTTTGACTGGTGCACCCCTTGCCTGGGAAACCTTGCCCTCCTTGCCTGGCTCCCTGGCCAGCACTGTCTGCTTCCTCGGAGGTAGCTGCCTGCCCTCCTCTGCAGCCCACCAAATTCATTAAAAAAAAAAAGAAAGAAAGAAAAAAAAAAAGTTCAGGAAAAGATCTGTGCTGGCTAAGACCTGCTAAGTGGAAAGAGGTCAGCTTGTTTACTTAAATCCATTTAAATCTGGCACACTGAGAATAGCAACTTGCTTTGACCACTGGCTTGGGTAAATATGGCCTGGCATTCTTGAGACGATATTTACAACTGCAGCTATCCCCGTTGCGCAGGGATATATATACATATGGATATTTTCACTAAAAACAGTTGAGGTAAATTATTTGACAGGAGATGGATGTGAAATGGCTGGTGTGCGCATTTCCTGTGCAACATTTAGAAACTGAAGCACATCTGAAGCCCTAACAAACGATGTTCCTTTCTGAGCTTTATGATTAAAAAAAAAATAGTTTGGTTGCATTTAGGATCAGTTCCACCAGAGAGATTTTACTCAGGATTTTGTGAAACGGCAGCTATTTTTGGCAGATAAATTAGCATGTTTTCTGAGGTAATACAGGCAAGAAATGATAGCCTGGGATAGTTTGCTGGGCATGGAGGGTATTTCAGCTGCAAAATGACGATTCAGTTCTTCTGATTCGAGATGAAATGATCTTTGTGGCCTCAGCTCAGACTTTCTGTCACAGCCGTCCACGCTAACGCCGCACATAGCAAGGCATAATTTTACATAAGTAGGAGACTGTGCTCTGAGCCAATATACAAGTCATACCTGATTGAATATTGCCATTTCAGAGCCGCCGCCTAATCACATATTTCAGGCTGTGTGAACAAAATAATGTTGTTATAATTACACACACTGTTTGTGTGTTTGCGCGTGTGTGTGTTATATATATGTAATGACATTAGGATGATAATATAGCTGTTTCTATTAGCTCTGTGGTATTAATAAGGTATGACAGAAAGTTATTTGATACCGTTTGCAATCCCACTTGCATTTTCATATTGCTCTCAGATGTAATTCAGGGACTTGATTTTTATGAGTTATGGCTCTGATGTCACTTGTATTTTTGCCTATAATAGGTCCCACCGGAGCAAAATTCATCAGAGTCAATTAACAACATCTGAAAAGTGTATCTTGGTTAGTAACCGATCAGGCAGAACCTGTGTGGGCTCTGCTCTCGCTGACCCATCACCCTGTGCCACTCCAAGAAAGCAGCTCCTCAGGCACTAGGTAGCAGCCACCTCAGCTTACTGTTACCGGGAGAGCTAAGCAAACATTTTGGGGGCTGCCAAACCACCGGCTACTCCCATCCCAGAGCTTCAGAGCGACACGTGCCCTGTGCTATGGGGGTCCAAACACTCTGTGAGCATCCGGGCATCCTCCCGGTTTCTGCACTGTGACCCGAGGAGTCCCACAGCAGCCAGCCCATCGCTGCCAAGCCGCTCGATATTCGGGGTGATTTCTGTCAGCCAGCCCGCCCCTGGAGCCCTGCGAACACCAGGACAGTTTGGGGTCTGCCTCACGGGAGCACCTGGCAGTCCTAAAGGGCAGCTTACAGCATGACGCCAGGATCGTGGAAAAGCACAAGGTAAATAAAAATAACTCCAGATATGTATATGCTTTAAAGGTTGTGATTGCAAAGCTGACCTCGCGTGGGGTTTTATTCTCGGTTGGGTCGGGGGCTGTTGACTGGGGCTTGTGGATTTTTCAGAGGGGAGATAAACACTCTGTCTGCTTGTGTTTTCAGTGCTTCCAGTGAGTGATGCGAACGTCTGATCTAAAGAACTCCCAAAGTAAGGGACCGATCCCCAACCCGAGGGGAGTGAGTGCTGGGCCTCCCATCAACTTCAAAGGGCCTCGCGTCCTGCCCGGCTCACTGGCTTCGGGCAGGGGCCGGCGTCGCCCTCGCAGCTCCGCTGTGGCTCCGTCTGCCACCCTGAGCACGCTCCATAAAACTCCTCAGTGACTTAAAAGCCTGGAAGAGAAAAGCTCCGAGCAGAAAATAAATAAATGAAATAAAACAAAACAATGCTGGCCTCCCCAGCCCCCGCGCATGCAAACATGAGGTTTAAGATTGGATCATGGTTGGGTTTCATTCCAAGTATAAAAATGGGTTTAGAAGACTTCAGTTTAAATTGCTTCCTGTCTCCCAACATTCCTAACCACAAATATTTTTAATTGTACGGCACGAAAATAAAGTTATTTAATAAATTAACGCTTGAAATGCTTTTTGGTTCAACTTTGTTTATTAGGAGCAGTCTTATTTTAGCGTTCGTATATTCATTTCCAGCTACTGCTCTGTCTGATCCCGATCTTATTTCCTTTGTAATCTACAGATCTTCTGTTGTTATCATTGCTGTGTTTTATGGTTTTGCATTACTTTATTGACTCGGCATACTGTAAGCTTTTTTTCTCCTCCCTCTGCTGAAAATAGCCTTTTATGAGAAGCTTAAGCAAAAGCCTGGAATGTCCAAAGGAGAGCACAGAAACATTACAACATTTTGCACATTTCTTTTGGCCAGAGAAAGTTACAAAATATTCATACGAATAAACTTATCCAGTGCCTGCAGGACAAAATCCAACTTTTTGATTATATGTGGAATTTCAATTTCTGCTATAAACAAGCTGGGTATTTTATATTTTATTTTATTTATTTTTGCATTTGAGGGGGAAGGGAGACCTCTGTGCGATTGATGTCAGAGCAATGATCAATATGCATACCGTTGTTGCTGGAAATATGTACTTGAGTGCACTGCAACAGACTGGTGATGCCACATCCAAAATGCCAAAACCATCATAAAGTTCAGCAGGATGCTGATGGTCCTCACAGTCAGCAGCACCAGTTGAAGAGATAGCATAGGCTGGGCGCTGGAGCATGACAATGGAGGGTGAACAATTCCTCCCGCCTGCACTGGGACCCTCCCCTGCCACAGGGACACTGGGGGATGAAAGGGAAGGTGCCTGCAGGGGCGATGGGCGGATGGCTGGCAACGTACATGCGCACCTCGTCCTCCCCAACAGCTCTGTGCATCTTTGGTGAGAGCAGGAGAGGCCTTGGCTGTTGGGCCATTCCTGAAAGGAGTCACCGCCTGGGCTGCGGCTCAGCTGCGAGCATGTGGGAAGGAGCCCGGTGGGTCTTTCACCAGCTTCTGAGGTGTGACAACCAATTCCTGCTGCTGTGAGCCACGAGGAGAAGGTGTCAGTGTGAGGATGGCAGCCGGTGCTTCACAGATGCTTTGGTCACCTCTACAGGGCAGGGCAGGCAGGTGACCCAAGCGCAGCTGTAGGGAGGAAGGGGCACTTTCAGGGACCACCTGTCCTGCAGGAGAACAGGAACGCCCCGTGAGTGCCCTTGGGAATTGCCACTTGCTGGTGAAGCTGGGTCACCAGCTCACACAGGACACCAACCCTCCAGCCCACCTGTTTGGTGAGAAGAACCCAACCTGCTTAGGGACCTTTCTGACATTGCCCAGCTGCATCTTGAAGCAAGCATCAGACAGTGCCACCATCTGAACTCTGGCTTTCGATGTAACCCCTTGAGGAGGTAAACTCCAGCACGGACTGAAGCTGAGCTGCCCCAACTGTGGAAGTGCCACGGAGCCCTGCAGGAGCTGAGTGCACCGTGCGGTGGCACAACTCTTGGCGTGCCAACCCTGCCTGCTGGTGTGCTGCGTGAACGAGCAGCCTGCTGAGAGGAACAAAACCGTGTACCCTTGCACCCGTGCACCCTACCTGGTCCCGCACTTCCCAGCCTCAGCTTCGTGTGCTGTGCTGTGCTGCGGAGGGATGGATGCTCGCTTCCCGAGGCACGGTGTCGTGGCTGGCAGGAAGGATGGGGCAGCCAGAGCCTGGGAGGATGCTCTGTGCCGGAGGGGCAGCACCGAGGCTGCCAGGGCAGAAGCAGAGGAATTTGGGTGCGAAAGGAAATGGGAAGTTCTCTGCCACCTGAATCTATGTTGTGGGAAAGGAGCAGCCCTACCTGCCTGAGATAAAGCAAATGAATAAACAAATAAAAACCTGTTTGTGCCCAATATATTGTAACAATCGTTTGAGGACGGCTTTATCTGCGTGAGAGTATTACCCTGATTAAACACGCCAAGGTCAGTGAAAACAAAGGTGAATTGATGAAGAAATGCAAGTTGTTCTGGCTGGGGGTGACATGAAGCGGCGCTCCCGGTTCTGTGGGGATGTTTCACTGTGCAGGTCTCCTCGTGTCACCTCCCCATCCCCTTCCAAATATCCTTCCCCTGGCTGACTGAGCTCCCAGGCACGAAGCACTGGATTTTAGCAGCCAGAAGAGCTCTCTGTGGCTCTCCTGAGCTGTGCGGCTGGTTTTGCCGACCCAGGCTGTGCAGGACCCTCAGTGTTGCCACTTGCTGGCTTCCCCCCTGCCCCAGCACAGCGCCCACAGCTCAGGAGTCCAATCCCACAGGCATAAACCCAGGAGGGCACCACAGGGACCCCAACTGCCTCCACCTCCGGCATGGAAGCATATTCCCCAACCCTCGTGCTGAAGATGGTTTTTGTCCTGCTGTGTACGAGCCAAGAGGCTGTAGGGCCACGGACCAGCCGGTTGCTCAGCACACCTCCTTACAGGACCGCAGGGCACAGAGGAGCAAACCTTTAGCACGCTGCAACGAAGAGTTTGATTTTCCCTCCAGAGGAACCAGGAGAATCGCAGCCTGCCGCAGGGAAGCACGGCCAGCATCGCTCCTTATTCCCAGCCACCAACACCCCATTCACCACAGCTCCCGGCGGCCCCGAGGCTGGCTTTGCACCACCACCAGCTGCAAGCTGCGGGCTGGCAACTTGCAGCGGGGGGACCCTGCGGCCGCCCCGCTCAGCACCGGGGTGCCCGGCTGTGCCCGGCCGTGCCCGCAGCGGGCAGGACGAGCCCCGCGTTGGCACAGCCGGCTCGGCCCCGTGCAGGGCACACGGAGCCCCTCGGGGCCGGACCCTCCTACACCCAGCGCAACCGGGGGGGCCGCCCGTGGGCGCCCCGCACCCCGAGGTGCCCGCGGGGGGTCCCGGGGGGCGCCGCCCGCAGCCCGGCGGCCTTGGGGAGCGCTCCCCGGGGCAGCCCCGCAGCGGGGGGGTTCCGGGGCCGGGGCCGGGGCCGGGGGTCCGGGCCGGGCGCCAGGGGTCGCCCCGGGAGCGGCGCCGCCGCCCGCACTTGTTGCTGCCCCCCGCGCTGTGGCGTGGGGCACGCAGCGCTGACGTCACCGCTGGCGTCATTAGCGCGGCCGTTATTTATTTATTTCCCCATTCATTTATTCATTTCTGTAGTCCTCCCCTCGTCCCTCTCAGCCCCCCGCTGTTTCGCTGCGGGGGGGGGGGCCGGGGCTGCCTCGCTCCCCCCCCCCCCCCATCCCCATCCCCATCCCCATCCCCATCCCCATCCCCATCCCCGGTCCCGGGGTGCGCGCACGGGGCGGGCGCGGAGCGGCAGCGCCCGGGGTGTGTGTGGGGGGGCACCGCGGAGCCCCCCGAGCCCCCCCCGGGCTCTGTGGGTGCGGAGGGGCCGCGGCGGAAACTTTCCCGGCCCCCGCGCGGGTGCGCAGCCCGCGGCCCCAGCCCCGGGGATGGGGACGGGAGCGCGGAGGCTCCGCGGGATGCGCAGAGCCCCCCCCCCCCCCCAGCCCCCCCGGTGCTTCTTGTGCTGCTCGCCCCTGGCGCACCCGCGCATGCATATTGATGCGTTTATATAATCGATAACCCACTTCCCTCCTTCCCCGGGAAAAACGAAAAAAAAAAAAATACAGAGAGAGAGAAAAAAGGCACCGAGCCCCCCCCCCCACACCCCTCCCGCGGCTGTCCCGCACCGGGGGGCTGGGGGGGTCGGTGCTGGGTGCGGGGCCGAGCAGCGCCCCTCGCGCCGCAGGAAATGGGCTGTATATGAGACATATACACGCAGGTCCTGGCAGCTCCGCAGCGCTCCCGCGCGCCCTTCGGGCCCCCCAAAAATCCGCGGGCGCCCCGCCCGGCCCCGCCGCCCCCCCTGCAGCCCCGCGCCGCCCCCCCGCGCCCCGCCGGCGCCCCCGGGCAATTTTGCGGGGCCGGAGCGGGCGGCGCGGGGCGGCGCGGCGCGGGGGGGCGGCGGCGGCGGGGCGCCGGGGGGCGGCGCGGGGGCGGCGGGGCGGGGGTCGGGCGGCGGGGGGGCGCGGCGGGGCGCGCGGCGGGGCGGGGGGCGGCGGCGGCGGCGGGGCGGCGCGGGGAGGGCGGCGGCGGGGGGCGGCGGGCGGCGGGGCCGGCTTCGCCCTGCCAGGACCTGCCGGGCTCCATTCACGCCAACAAGTTTGGGAGAATGTTGAGTTCAATCACGCCGGAGCCGCGATGGAGCGCAGCGCACTGCAGGTACCGCGCGGCACCGCCGCCGCGCAGCGCCGCGCAGCCCCGCGCCCCCTCCCCTCCCCTCCCCTCCCCGCTCCCCTCCCTCCCTCTCCCCCCGCCGCCCTCCATCCCTCCCCTGCTCGCTCCCTCCCTCCCTCCCTCCCTCCCTCCGCCGCCCCCCCCGCCCTGCCCTGCGCGGCGCTGCGCGGCGCGGAGCCGGCGCTGATGCCGCCGCCGTGTTGTTGTTCCCCGCAGTGGGTCGGCGCCCCGTGCGGCTCGCACGGCCCCTACGTCTTCTACCGGGCGTTCCGCTTCCAGCGCCGCGGCGGCGGCGGCCGGGCGCGGGTCCTCTCCCTCGGCGACTTCTTCTTCGTGCGGTGCCGCGCGGAGGAGCCCGCCTGCATCGCGGAGCTGCAGCTGCTCTGGGAGGAGCGCACCAGCCGGCAACTTCTCTCCAGCGCCAAACTTTATTTTCTCCCCGAGGACACCCCCCAGGGCAGGACCAGTGACCATGGCGAGGTGGTAAACGCAGCTCCGGCCCCCTGCACCCCCCCCCCCCCCACCGCGCCCCCCTCCCCGTCCCCACCCCGTCCCCACCTGCATGCCCGGGCTCGGCCCCCCCCGCGTGTCCCCGCTGCCCGCGCCGTCGGGGCGCTCCGCTGCGCGCTGCCCGGGGACTCGGGCGGGCGGGCGGGGGGCGGGCGAGGCGCCCCCGGGCCGGCAGCGGCAGCGGGGCACGAGTGCGGGGCTGGCCCCGACCCCTCGCTACACCCCCGGGGCCCGGCCGGGCTGGGAGCGCCGAGGAGAGGAGGGGGCGCGGGGGGGGCTTGCGGGCAGCGCTCGGGGCCGGTTCGGCGGCGGCCGGTGCGCCGGGGAGGGCGGAAATTACGAAATGGA